CTCCCCCCGGGCACCGGCGCTGCGCTCCGAGGGGCCATGAGGAATAAAACGCTTCTGGAGCTTTTTCTCCTTCTCTAAGGAGCCGGAAAGGAGCGAAAGCGAGACTTTGATCGCGTCTTGCAGCGGGATCTGCGGATTTGTACAGGAAAAGGGCTTTTAGGGAGAAATAATCGGATGTTTTAGCGGCACCGTTCCTCTCCGGCCCCGCCATGGGCACCGGGATGTGCTCGCGGCGGCAGAAGGGGCTCCTGCAGACCGGGTTCTGCCTGCTGGCCCTGGCCTGCCTGGGCTCGGGGGGGTTCCTCTACAGCCACCTGCAGCAGAAGGTGCGGAACGCCGAAGCCCTGGCGCAGAAATACAAACAGCAGCAGGAAGCGCTGTCAGCCCAGCTCCAGGGTGAGTGACCCGTGGGTGGGGGGGTGTCCACCCACCCCCTGAGCTCCTCTCTCTCGCCACATCACACACTGCTGGTTTTGCTGCACAGCCCAGCAGCAAGCAGGGTTCCTTTGCGGAGCGTGGTTCAGCTTTTGGCTTTAAAGAGCTCTAAGAAGATGCTGTCGCCTGTTACTTTCCCCCGTTTGCTGTCTAGAATTAGCGCAGCCTTGGATTGGAATTGCTGCTTACTGGGTTGGGGAGTTTAGCTGCATCATGTCTATTCTGTTTCTTCTCCCTGTAGTTCCCTTTGACCACAGAGATTAGTCCTATGTCGTTCTAAATGTCAAGCAGTAAAAATGCAAACAGGACTAAGAGGCTGGTTGGGCAGGCTCCGAGATGTGGCTGTGCTCTCCAGCCTGCAGGAGCATCTGTCCAGAAAGGGAATAGAGAGGGAAGGGGTCCTTTAGGGAAGTTTGTTATATTAAACACGGGGTATCAGTTTGACCTCTGACATACTGGGTGACGTTGTTTCTACAGCCTCTATTGCTGGGGAATTCTACAGATCTGTGTCTCAACATACACTTCTTCTAGGGTTAAATCTTTTCTGGTGCTTTTGCGTGTGTTGCTGTGATGCAAATGTCACACTGTACATGGGCTTCTTGTGCTCAGGGCTGCGTGTTTCTGTCTGTAAACTGGGAAAGCAAAGTGTGGTCTGTGTGTTTTGTTTGTTTCTCAGGGAAACGTGCTTTTGAAAGTCAATATTGTGAATTGCTCTAGTGTGTGTAGAGGTTCACTGCTAGTATCTTCTGTTTTGTTTCCATTTCTTCTTGCTCTGTCATGCGGCATTCCAACAGCTCCAGCTCCTGATGTGTTGCCCAGTCCTGGCTCCGGCAGTTCCCACCTGCATCCTGTGTTTCTGGGATGCAGAGATCGGCAGGGTAGAAGTTGGCCCACATTCCTGGCTGGTGTGTCAGCATCTCTTGCTCCTCTTGGACAGAGGGGCTGGTTCCTCACAGAATGAGATGACAGCAGTAGCCTCAGGGAACCCCAGTTTTGGGAACAGCAGGCTCAAGCAAGCAACTGAGATGGGCTCATAACATTTTTTTCACCCAAATACATTTGGCAGAGCTGTAGCCTGTTGCTGGGGTTTCTAACCCTCTGTCACTCCTGTTGTTCCTAAATACAGTTGTTGCCATGGATACCCCTTTTTATTTTGAGAAGACACTTACTTGTCCAACACCATTATGAAAGACAAAGCTGCTTTTTGGATTTGGCTGGTGGGAGAAGCCTGGCGGCCGGCAGATAGGAGCCGTGTTCATGGAAGTCGTAAAGCACAGTGCCTCTGCCATCCCTCTGGGTCAGAGGGAGGTGTGATGGGTCTGCCTTTTGTTCTGCTCCCTGGTCCTTCGCTCTGGATGATTCTTGAGCCTGAGTGATGGGTGCTGTGGGTGATTAGCTGTGATGTGACTGGATGGAGGCTGGCAGGAGTATTTGATGGCTCTGACAAGGAGAGCAACAGAGGAGAAAGCTTTTTCTGGGTGGTTAGCTACGAGAGGCGAAGGAGCACAGTGCAGTCTGGAAGTTAGTGCTGGTCTCTGCTGGGAGCTGCTCCGGGCTGCAAGCCACAGGCGGTGTGATGACTCTTTCCATGTTATGTGCTACTGGCACAGAAATGGCCTAACAAACTGTGCATCGCGTGGGGCTTTAGCAGAACCAGAGCAGCAAATCTGCTGTCTTGCTCTGTGAGAGCAGGGAGCTAGTGTGTGCTCATGGCTTTCCCAGGCTGGGGTAAAATTAAACCGGTTGAACAGAAGGAGAGTAAAACCTGGGACTGGTGGCAAGACTGGACTCACTCTGCCTTTATGGATCTCTTAAATTTTCCCTGTCAGATGTTTATCTTAGTACTCTGGGGTGTATAAGGCAACCCCTTCACACAATCGCTCTATTTTCTGTCATCTTTTAAAATGAGAGGGGGTCTGGGGAAGACCTGACCTGTTCTTTCCCAATAGCAAGGCACTGCAAGGGGTTTAATTGTTCCAGCAGCTCCAGTTCTGCATTTTAGCTCATTTGGCAGCAGGTGATGGTGCTTTAGTGCTGAGTTCTGGCTGAATTCCAGCCTGGATTTAGACACTGGCCACCCTCTATTCTCTCTTGTGACTGCAATTTGTTGAAGACTTCCTGCCTTCCTGTCCGCTGAAGCTGCATGGTGCCATTTCGGTCTGCTGAGTTGTTGCTGTATTCCACCACAAAGATAAGTAGAGAAGCTTCTTCATGCAGCACTTATTTGCTGCTTTGTGTAAAGCTGAACCCACCTCTGCGCTCTGAAGAGCTGGAGGAATGGCAGGAGAGACTACAACTTTTTTTTTCTAGTCACTGGAGGTTACTTCAGTTTATCTTACTGATAAAAAAGTGTCAGGAGAGTGTCAGGTGCATTGTGGCACGACTCACCCCCAAAGATCTTGGCTCAGGAGGGAAGTTTCTTTTATCACCTCTTGTCTCCGAATTGCTGCCCATCCTGGTGTGGTGGCGGTCACCCAGCAAGAGGGGACAAGGAGCCTGTGGCAGCTGAGGGCTGTGACTCATGGAAAACTCTTGGTTAGTGTTCAGACATCTGAGTGGATTAAAATCACGATCTGTCAGGAAGCTTCTCTGGCACTTGGATTTGTCATGTGGCTGCTGTGCATCCTCATCCCTCTCCCTTCTCTGCTCTGGTGCAGAGTACAGATGCTCTCTTGTCTGTAACGGGAGAGGGAGCTGCTTGGCTCGCTTCTCCTTACTGGCCTGAGGGACAGTTAATTGTTCGGTTGTGGAAGGGGAGAAGATGTCTCTCCTGCACGCTACTGATGCCTTTACAGAACGGATCACCGGGAAGGCTCTGGCTGTCTTGAGCCTGGTAGGGGACTTGGCCCCCAAATATACAGTTTAGCCACTGGCCACTAAATCCATATCCTGGGCTTCACAGCTTAGACTCCAAAGCTAAACCTGAGTGCAAATACTGGCAGGATGACAGACAGTGTGTGATACCGGGAATCTCCATTGTCTCTGGTCCAGCTGTCCCCACCCTGCTCCAGACCTCATCTGCTCACAGCTGGCAAAGTGCAAACAGCTTGTGGCTGGACCTGACCCTTTCGTGGCTCAGGACATCAGATATCTGTGTGGATTTCAGGACTGTTGATTTGCTCGGTCTGGATTTTACACGTCAGCTACTGTGTGCTTAAGCCTAGGAACCAAGAGTGACACAGGTCATCCAAACCAGGGTTTGGGGTCTATGTGGTTCCATGACCTGTGAGAGATCTGCTTTGGGGAACAGAATGTATGTGAAGAATTGTCAGGGTTTAACTCATGCTCTGCCTCTTTCTCCTTCCACAGTTGTGTACGAGCACAGATCCCGGCTAGAACGGTCCTTGCAGAAGGAGCGAGGGGAGCACAAGAAGACAAAGGAAGGTGAGTCTCTTGCGAGTGGCCAGCAACCTGCCAGCTGTGCTGTGGGACCGGGCCAGCCCCAGTGTCCTGGCCATGTGGCCCTGTGTTCCCAGCAGTCACCATGACTGGGCTGGTTGGTGTCTGTGGCATCCAGCTGGTGGTCCCTGGGGCTGGGGTCTCTGCGCTGTTTCTATGGGAGGGAAGCAATAACTAAGAAAAGTGGAGCTTTTAAAGTCAGTGAGCAATACTAACACCTCCCCTGTGAAATACCTGGGGAGGGGCTAGAAGAGCACCCAGTTTGAAAACCATGGCCCTTGCCACTGTCACTGTGAGGAGGTGCAGGCTGATGTGTTTTGCTGCCCTCCAGAGACTCGCTTCTGTGATAATCCCTTCCTAAGAACTGACTCTCAATATCCCTGCTGCCCTGATGAATAAGCGATGGTATTTTACCAGCTGCTTTCTCAAGCCCCACATCCTTGCATTAAATCATGTGTGTGCCTAGAAAATAAATTTTAATTTCCCAGTGCAGGCCTGGCATTCATTAAACTCTGTTAAAATAGACATTTCAAGAAATGTATAATGCAGGATCTCAGGGGGATGAGATGGGAAGGTTGTGGTGCTCAGAGCAGAAATGCAGGAGCACAGTCCAGCTCGCTATGTTCTGGCTTTGAAACAGAACTGAGGTGGCTTTGGCACCTCAGGCTCTCGCTGGTGAAGGGGGATGAGAGCACTGCTTTTCCAGTTTGATCTGGACTATTCTATTCCTCCTTCCCTTCCCCCCAAAATACAAGCCAGATCCTTTTTCAATTCCAACTCATTAAATTGTCTTCTCTCCTTCCACTTCTAGATTTTTTAGTGTACAAGTTAGAAGCTCAGGAAGCTCTCAACAAGGAGAAGGTGGGTATGGTTCATTCCCCCGTGTGTGTGTAATAATGGTAAAGATCCTTCTAGTGCCACTGCCACAGTTGGCCCTTAGCAAGGTGTGAGCAGAGCTGTTGAACTGGTGGACACATTGTGTGTTCCTTTCAGCCTTGGGTTTTTCTGAGCTCTAATGGCATTCTTGAATCTTTTTCTTTACAGCAAGACTCTATGAACAGATACGGGGCGCTCAGTTCCCAGCACAAGATCCTGAAGGTAAGGAGGAGCCTGGGTTCACATACCCAGATTGCTGTGTTGAAGACGGAAGGAGCGTTGGTGCTTTTGCTGACCAGCAAGGCCTGGGACAGACTGAGGGTTTCCTGCAGCCGGAGCCAGCCCAGAGGGAGGAGACCGCACAGTGGGGTTGATCTGCATTCCTTCTTGAGTATTCCAGTTCAGGGGAGTTTCCTATTTATTCTGTTGGGCTTTATCAGATTGCAGCCTGTGCCTATTCCTCACTTCAATGTCAGGCTTTGTGCAGTTTATTGCACAGGAGTTCTATTGTTCTGCCTGTTCTTTTCTGGGTCTCTTCATGTGAAAATCGGTCTATTCATTGCAGCTTGCCCTTTGGGCTGGTACAACGTATTCCAGCCTGTGTAAGTGGCTCAGAGGGGGGCAGCTTATCCCGTGCTCTACCTGGAGTGTATCATGATGTTCAAGTTTGCTTTTGTTAGTTTGCTTTGGTTCAAGCAATGCAGCTGTGGCTGGTGAGAGTGGTTTTTAAATGTTTTTAGTTGGGGCATTGGCAGCGAAATGGTGATTTAATTCTGGGATGGAGAAAGAGGGCTGGGTTCCAGCAATCCATTGCACCACTGGGTTGTATTTCCTGAGCTGAGCTGGACCTCCAGCTGCCTGGCTTTTGGCTTCAAACTTGGGGAAAAGGGAAGTACAGTTCTGGCTCTTGGGTATTTTCCAGCACCGCGGATTCTGGGAACGCTCTGCAATAGTAATGTTCCTCCTCATAGCAACTGCAGTCTGAGCAGAATGTGCTGGCTTGCTTGTCTCAAGAGGACTGAGAGCATTTCGTCCTGGTTCCCTTTCTCTTGCTTCCTTTTATTGGCGGGGGGGGAATAATCTATTTTTTAAACTACATTTACAGCTGCTGAAAGACAGGCCAGCCCTCGGGACTGCAGTGTGGTGGATTTTTGCTTCCCCCGCCCTTGAAAAAGCAATATTCAGCTCCACTTCTAGCTGCTACTGCAGCTGTGAGTAACACTTCTGTCACTGGAGCATAGGTGAAAAATGCTCCCCACTGGGACCAGCCTCCTCAGGAGGAAGATTGCTGCCAGCAGTGTCATTCCCTGGGAAGCAGACACGTAATGCTGAACAGAAGCATCTAACTCAGTGAAGCTGGAGGTTCCAGATATGACCGAAGACTTCCATGAAGCCGCATCAGCATATCTGGCTTTGGTGTTCTGGCCGCTGCCATCATTCTGATCTGTGTTGGAATCATCGATGTCTGATTAACATCTGCAATGGGCAAAAGGGGCTTGACTTTGTCCCAAAACAGCAGCTGCAGGAGTTGCCTGTGTCTGGGTTCCTGCTGGGACCAGAGTTCATCTTGCAGTTCCTTTCAGCCTCTTGAGGGGAGATTAAAATTTGTTGTTAACATCTTTCTGCAGGATGCATCCTGGCATTCACTGGAATAGGCAGGCAAGGAGGCGGGTGGCTCTAAACAAAAGGTTTTTGACAAGGATTTCCTGAAACTGCTGGAACCTGGAAACTTGCCATGAGGTGTGCCCTTCCTTTGCTTGGGGGCTTGGCATTCCATTCCTGATTCCACTTGGTACAATGCTGTCTGCAAAGCTGCCTTTGAAATCTTGGCAGAAATATATGGTTTTGATGTATCTTGGGCACTGCATGCTGTCTGAACAGCGAAGGGAAGGTGGGATGAGAGGAACTTGCTGGAATTCATACAGCTGAGCTGAAGGACTCCTGATTTTTGAAAGCTGAGCTGATTTCCTGAGTGACACAATTTCCCTGTATGGCAGTGTAGGGACCCGGTAAAATGCCATAACAGCACAGTCCCTCTGTATCCCCTCACCTCCAGCTGCATTGGTACATGATTTGCATAACGCTCATGTGCTGTGTCTTGCAGTTTCTGCTTGACTGAGTAAAACAGTGTGTTTGTGAGGTAGAGAAGGGAGTGACATTAGTCAGATGGGCAGATCTGGACACGAGAGGTCCCTGGCTTCCTTGGGGCCATCAGCACACCTCTAGTCTGGGTTAGGAATGCTCTGCTTGCAGTTGAGTTGCTTCTCTGAAAAATAATCACACGTAGCATGTTCCAGACCTCCTGTCCTGCAACTACAATAAACCAGCATCTTTACATTCCCCCTGAAGTTTGCATCCATCGGTTACAGCCATCCAGAGAAACCAGCTGGGAGCTGGCCTGGGCCTCGTGTGATTTGTGTGACCTCGGTCAAGGCTCTTATCTCTGTCTGCAGCTTCCTCCTGCCACCAAAGGATGAACATTCCCTCCCTTCTTCCTGGCTGTGAGCGGTCTGGGGACAGACATTGTGCACATCACCTGCCAGACAGAATATGGGCTGGAAATTAATTGACCTGAGCTGATGTGGACTTAAAGCTCCTTGAGGTGCTTAGAGTTTCTTGTTAAAATCAGTTCTCACTTGCTAATGTTGGTGGCTTCTAAAGTGTTCAGTATCCAAATGATTTTAGGGATGTTGTTTCTCTGTGGTGCTTTCTGCCTGTGGCTCTGATGGGAACTGTAAGTGCCTAATGGCTTTGAAAGCCAGAGCAGGAATCTTTTATTCTCTTTATTTCCCCTCCTGATCTTGTGATCTGATTAAGCTGACATCCTTGTCTCTCGTCTCTGTTCTGTCTCCGAGACCCCTCCACACCGATAGCTTTTTCCTCTGCATTACCTGTATTTTTGGAGCACTGTTATTTCTCTCCTTTTAGTGGAGGATAATTGCTTCAGGGGAGAATGCCTGGGCCACAGACACTTTGTTTTACTGGGGATAAATGCAATCATTGATAGCATTTAGAGCTTTGGGGTTTTATTTTAAAAGATTTTTTTTTTTTATGGGAAGGTTGATGGAAATAGCTGCCTGAGTCCGGAGGAGCTGCAGCGTAGAGGGGCCAGGGTTCACCTGTGAGCTGCTCAATCTGCATACAGAATTGGTGTTGGCAAACTGCATGTGGAAGGACTCTCTGGGTTACCATGGGAACAAAAAAGGAGGTGAATTCTGGTTCAGTGGGTCTGAGCAAAAGGATGCCTCAGCACCTTTTGTTCCTGGGCTCTGCAAGTGGGGAGGGGAGAAGAGAACAGCTCTTCAACCCACTTCAATCTGATGGATTCCTGGCCTGCTTGGAGTGGTCTGTGGTCCTGTGAGAGTTGTGTTATACTGTAATGCAATGTGGGGACTGATGCTACGTGCACCATGGGATCTGTCCTTGCAGGTCATGTTGTCCTTCAGCACATCTGGGACTCTGGAAAGGGGCCTGGATTTGTGCAGGGTTCCACAGGTATTTGGTTTGGTATTGGGAAATGTTACAGCCTGCGTTGCTCAGGCAGAGCAGAGTGTGCAGGGCACTGGGAAGAAACAGGAGAGGTTCTTGGCGGTGTCACAGTCTCCATCCCTTTTTCAGGCAGGAGTGGACTTGCCACCACATTCTGCTTCCAGTTTAGCAGCTTCCAAGGAGACCTCCCCAACTGCTTCACAAAGCAGAGTTTAATTGGCATTTCACATCCTCCTGAAGTGCTGAACACAATATTTTGCTGTACCTGGGATTTCTGGCTGCCTTACTGGAGGAACAAACATCTCTTCTGCTTCCACAAGTGACTTATTAAACAGCGGTGGTTAAGTGGCACTTGGAAATCGCTAAATTACTCTTATCCTTGTACTGACTCTTTGTCACTTCTTTTCATATTCAGAACCAGCATGAAGATGTCAAGAAGCAGCTGCTTGACCTGCAGCTGCAGCACAACAGCTTGAAACTGGAACATCGGAAGACACTAGAGACCCACAGCCAGAAATACGCCCAGCTGCAGCAGGAGAAGGACAGCGAAGTCGCAAACCTGCAGGGTGAGTGCGATGGAGAGCTGGAAAAACAGCAGGTGGAGAAAAGACTGAAGAGCTGAGCTCAGGAGAGGACAGTGTTGCTTCCACAGGCCCCCAAAGGTCTGTGAATACTATAGGAACTCTTCTGTATGACTGTGGGTGTGCAGCACCTCAGCCCATTGTCCCACCTCGGGGTGGGGGTGCAGGACCAAGGGCAGTGTTAAAACTGGCCACATTGTCCCCCGGTTGTGTTGAGGGGAGGTGGGAGATGCAGAGCAGGCTGTCAAGCAGCTTCCCCATGCAAGGGGAGCTACCAGAATCCTGTAAATTCTAACATTTGAGCTTGGAAGCAAATGAAACATGCTTTTTGTAATTAATGGTGTAGGTCTATAAAATGCATTTAATGGTGCAAGCATTACAGAGAATGCCGATCCCTTTAATTCCTAAAGAGCAGTTTCTGTTTAGTCTGCTGTTTAACTAGATTGTGGGGTTTTTAAGGTTCACATCTGTTCTTACTTAGATTAGGTCTGGGAGGGTGAAATCTGCTGAGGTTTTGTTTGTTTTCCTTCTCTGATCAACAAAGCCCCAGTATCTGATGGGTTGGAAGGGGGGAAATTGAGCACAAGCACAAACCTAAATATTTTATTGTCTCTCTTCTTGAAATACGCAGCCCCCAATGAAGTCAGAAAACTAATTCTGACACAGGAAGGAGAATAATGATCAGAAAAACAATTCGGAGAGGGAAGCTAGTTGGGAAGGTTGGCTTAAGGCTGAGACATTAATATTCTCTGTCCATCTTCCCAGGCTGCTCTTTGCTTGGTACCATCTCTGCTGTGCTTTAAGCTCAAAGCTGGCCAGTAAATCTTCCCTTAAGTCTCGGTAACCATGCCGTGCAAAAGAGCAAGATGGTCTCATGAGAGGTGGCAAAGGCAGCCAGCAGAATTGCTAATGTCTCGCTTTCCTTCCTGATGTTCCACCAGTACCTTCTGGATCCAATGTGCCCTCGGAGACGCATTGGAGGATGTGCCTCTGGCAGCGAGTGTAACAGAACAGAAGAGGGGTCCGAGCAGTGGGCATTGCTCAGGGCTCATAAAATGGAAGTGGGGGATTTTTTGCTAGATTCAATTGCAAAAATGAGACCCTCACCCCAGGGCAGCTGAGGGAAAGCAGAAGCTCCCTGGGCAGTATCAGGGGTTGCTTTCAGAGGTTTTGCTGGGTTTGGGAGTTCCTTTTGGTGGTCCTGGTTGTGTCATGGGGCCTGTTTAATCCCATTTGCTTTCTCCCCCTAGCCCAGGCCCTCTCCTGCTGCATTGTGAATTATTTTCTCCTCCGCTGTATAGGAACGGCAGCCTCTTTGTGCTGCGTTTCACACCCCCAGCACAGCCTGTCCTCTGCTGCGCTCCCCCACGCTCATTCTGTGCTCTCCTCACACATGTTTTCTCATCACACTTTGGCACCGTCTGCTCTGAAGGCAGAGTGATAGTTTTGATCACTGAGCTTCTGTGAGAGATAAGGACCCGGTAGTTAAGCTGAAATTTTCTTCCCATTGACACCAGTGATAAAAATCCTGCTGGGGTCACTGGGACCAGGATTTCACACTCCTGGCATGCTGGTGGTAGAGGATGGTAACTCGGTTAAAGCTGCTCTAGCTGTGGTCCCATAGGTCAATTCCATATTTCCTTCTGGCTGCAGGAAGGACAGAGCCTTCCTTTCTCAGTTTGAGTTAACCTTCACCACAAAGCAAGAACGCAGCACCCAGCCTCCATGGCCAATTGTCCTGTCCCAGAGATGAGTGTTAAAAATAAATATATCACTGCAAATATCTGTAATCTTGAGCTGAAATCTTGCATGCAATTCAGCCTACAGCAGAGTGACCATCCTGTTATAGGAAAAAATCCCATCCTTGTCCTGGAAAATGCAACTGCGTTTGCAGAGAATCCCAATGCGTGTAGTTCTGGTGATATTTTAAGAGAGCTCCAGGCTCCAAAATAAGGCTGACTTTTTTTTTTTTGACACAGTCTGTCTTTTTACTTTTTACTGGAGGATACGCAATTGTATTCAAGGCAGTGAAATGGAAGTGCATTGTGTGTCTTGTCACCCAAGCACTCGGGAGTGTGTAAAGAGCTTGAAAGGAGCCCAGCCCGGGGGCTGCAAGGCACAGGCTTGCTGCTTAACAGCAAAGGAATAAATGTGCCTGAGGACCCAGCTGCCCTGTGATTGTTTCTGTAAGTGGGTTGTGGGTTTGTACCATCCTTTCAAGAGGCAGCTTCTCTGTGCAGCAGGAGGGAACCTTCTTACTGGGTCTGCTGTGGGTTCAGAGCCCCCACAGACTCTTGTGGATGTTTCTCAACCTTCTGGTTACTGCAGGTAGAGGCAGTGGATGCTGCTTGCTGCTCTCAAATAGCTCTCAAGCAACTTTCTTCTTCTCTTGCAGATACAGTCTTTAAACTCAGAGAAGAGAGCAAGCTCCTTCGCAAGGCTCACCAGGATGTTCACTCTCAGCTCCTTAATGCCCAGGTAACCAACACAGGGCTGTTTGTGGCCATGTGGAACTTAATGGCTCTGCGGCGTCTGTCTGAGGCTCTTGTACTGAGCCAAGACATGAGCAGCTTTGTAAATACACTTTAAAAGTCACGTCACAGTCTGCATTAGCCTTTTCTGTTGCTAATTAGCAGCCTTCTGTTAAGCACTCCTTTGGATTATAGGATAAGCCCAGAAGCAAGGAGCTGGTTTTGGTTAGATGCTGTTGAAACGGATTCTTTCCCCAAACTGGATGCTGAACTTGAACTAGAGGTGTGAGGGGCAGTGAGTTTTGACTTCTACAAGATTGCTCTTCAGTTCTGGACTGATCTGCCTGGCAAAATATCCAGGACTAAGTGGCTCTAGGGTACTGTGAACTTCACAGATAGATGGTTGCCCCAGGCAGGGAGCCCAGGGCACTGACTTGCAGGCAGCTCCTTTGACAGCTCTCTCAAGGCAAGCACTTGCAGTCTGAAAACATGGAGCCAGCTTTTGTGCTGCCGGTCTTAACTTTTGGCCCCTTCAGTGTTGTGACCAAGGGGAAAAGCAGTTTGCAAGAAACAGTCATTTCCTGCCAAAATCAAAAGTGAGCAAGAGTAAAAGGATTTGCCCTGGGTGCGGGAGATGGTTCTCAGCTCCCTGCTCTGAATGTCCCAGACAGCCGCATAACCAAAGCTGTGCTCCAGCCTCTTGCCTGTCTGCTATTTCTGGCTCTTACAGAACTGGCAGTGGTTGTATCAATGATTTCAGAAAATACTTTGGATCTTTTTGGCAATGAACTTAGTGTTAAAACTTAGTGTTCTGTTCAGTTTTCTAATCTGTCCTTAATAGTGTCTAATCGGTGTTTCATAACACAAAGGTGAATAGAATTGCGTTTGCCTTCAGTGGAGCGCGATGCTGTGTGCTAGAGCAGACCCCCACAAAGGCTCCCGGCTTCTTTATCAGCACTGCGGTTCTTCACTGCAGTGTTGATGCGCTGAGTGTCCTGGTGTTGATCCTGCTTCCTTCTGGCGGGTGACAGTTTAGAGGAGTAATTTGCATTCTAGGCATGTTCCTTTTCCAAGGATTCTAACAGGTTTCACAACCACCTTAACAGGCTTTCGGTGGGTACAAGCATTGCTTCCATCTGGCTTGTTCTGACTGGTCTCGCACTGGCTAGGATTGTATCCCATGAACTGTTCTTGGCTTCCTTTTCCTTTCCTCATGCCTTTTCTGTTAGCTTTGCAGAGTTGTTTTGTTGGGTTTTGGTTTTTTAATGTTTATTTTAAGGTCAAATTTCAGGGGGAAGAACTGAAATCAACAGAGCCTGCTCATGAATTAATTTCCTGCTAAACTTTCTGTGCTGCTTGGAGGCTTTCCTCTGCCCCGTCCCTAATTTGGTCTATTTCCAGGTACCCTGGCAAGCATATGAAAAGCTCTCTGCCCTCACTTTGCCATAAATAACTGGGGTAAGAATTGGGGAGCTTTTCCCAAGGAGCTTTTTCAAGCCCAAGTTTTCAGGGTTGGAGATAGAAGAAGTAAGCTGCAGTAGAGAGAAATGTGTGTGAGGCACAGGAGGCGAGGAAGCCACACTGGAAAAGATTCTTGTGCAAAGGCAGGAGTTGTGTCAATGGCTCACGCACTAAATAGCATTGGTCAAAGAACTGGGTCAGCACTTCAAGGGTAAAAGTGTAAAATAAGATGCAAGACTGGCAAAGTGGCAATACAGAATATCCATGAAATCTCAAGGGAAAGCTAAAGACTAGCTTGGGCTTGTCATTAATAGTCGTGGATTATTTCCAGCCTTTCATATATATGTAAAATTTTTTTTGGTGTTCCTGTGCTGAACAACTGGCTGTAAGAGTGGCTATTCTCAGCAAGGAGTTGTTTAACCCTGTTTTTGTGTGCAGTTTCTCTGTACCCTTCTCATCCTCCCAGGCCCAGATGGAAGAGTTCAGGCAGCTCAAGGAAGCTCTCCAGAAGATGCCAAGCTTCAAAGGAGGAGGAGCAGGGAAGGGGCAGCAGCAGGTCCAGGTGCCGAAGGAGCAGCCTGTGGTGCCGGCCAACAGCCAGCTGCAGCTCATGAGGCAGAAGGTGAGGCAGTGGCCCAGGTTGCCCAGAGAAGCTGTGGATGCCCCATCCCTGGAGGGGTTCAAGGCCAGGCTGGATGAGGCTTTGAGCAACCTGGGCTAGTGGGAGGTGTCCCTGCCCATGGGACTTTAAGGTCCCTTCCAACCCAAACCGTTCTGTGATTCTATGATACTCCCAGGAAACACAGGGAGGAGAGTTGTGGGTTTTTGGCCTGGGGCTTTGAATTGGAGGGAGGTGAGCTTGTTCCTTTAGCGTTTGCTTTTGTCCTTTCTTCCTCGCAGGCTTTCCCAGTCAGCCAGGAGAATCACCCTGCTGGGAACCCACTGGCGTCCCAAGTCTCCAGGGTTCAGAAGCCGGTGGATGGGGCTCTGCTGCAGGGCCAGCACTTGTATGGTAATGATGGCCCAAGGCCACAGGCTCACATGCTCTTCACCCATCCAGCCCCACCTCAAGATGCCAACTCACTGCCGGGTGCTGTGCCCGCCTGGCCAGCACGACATGGGGACGGGCACGTGGTCCGGTTCACCCGCACCATGAACAGTCTGCCCAATGGTAACCCGGTAAGTTCTGCACTTGTCTGGTGTAGCCTGTGCTTTTGAAGCTCCAAATGATGATATTTGTCATGACATGCGTATGTGCATTCCAGTTCCCTGATTGGGAAACTGCCCTGGCCCCGGGTCTCAGGCACCTGTGTGCTCTCAGAGTTTGTGGTTTAGTGGCTGGGCTCAGATGAACGGGTGAGGATTCTGGTTCTGGATCCTGCTCAGATCTGCAAAGAGTAAATCATAAAAGCAGCCCCCTTGCCTCCTGAGGTGATTGAGAGTGAGTTTATAGAAAGCAAACCTCAAAAAAAAAGACAATAATTGCAGTGTGGTTAGACTATAATTACAGTAACTATTATGGCAACATGTGTGGGTTTTTTTTTTAGAGCTGGCTGTGTTGTTCCTCTTTTTTTGGAGATTCACCTACCCAAGGCAAGCTTGGGTCACATAAGATGCAAATTATTTTCTCTTGGCTGTGTGGAAGGAGAAGAACCTCTTACTGCAGGCTGGCTGGACAGATTTGTTCTGGAGCACTTCTGAATCTCTTGTTTTCTGACAAAGGATTTTTCTGCCCCATAAGCCTGCGCAAATGCAGAGGAGATCTGCAAATATCTGACACAATTAGGAGCTTGTGTACATCCCGAGCATATGCATGTGTCTTCTCTGCAGGATCTAAAGATGGTGATGCGCATTCAGGTGAGGAGCAATGAGGAAAGCCAGGCTCCTGGGTTGTCCCTGTCTGCTCTGAAACAACCCTCTGCAGCAGAAAAACCTCCGGTGCCAGACAACCACCACTCTGCTGGGAGCAAACAGGCGCAAGTGCAAAGGTTGGTGAAACAAAACTCCCTTCGATGTTCAGGCTCGAAGGTACCACACAGGCTGGTCCCTGGTCTGTACGCTGCCTTCGTATTTGAGCTGTTGGGTAAAGTGTGTGTGTGGGGAGGAGAGAAAGAGGAGCTGGTGCTGAGTGAGATCAGGTCAGCGAGGATTTCCTACTAGCCAGAGGAGAGATGTGGGACGGGAGTCTGAACTGACTTCAGGAAATCTCCCTTTTGGTGATCGTGACTTAAATATCATGTTTTGGTTGGCAAGCTGAAGGAATGCTGCGTGATGGAAGTGGACCTGCCTGCAGCAGCAAGGGTGGCTAAAAATTCCTTCAGTTTCTATAAATACGAGACATTAAGTTGTATATTAGAGTTGCAACTTGCTTATTTTTTCCGCTAATTAATCAGTAATCTGCCAAGCTCTGCAGGAACAACCAGACCTTGAAGATCAGAAAGCTCATCTCCAGGGTTACCTGGTAATCTAGAAGCAGAAGGCAGCCAGCCCCGATTAGGTACCAGTTTTTTCTGGTGTTGCTTCTAAGGCAAAGACAAATTCCAAAACTCTATCTGTTCTTCTGTGTTTTCCTCCCAGGGAATGGAGCTTGGGTTCCTGTTGGCAGTGAGCTTCTGAGGTATACTAGGGATGTTCCTTCACAGTGCCTGATCAGAACTTAAAGTCAGACAGGTCTGAGACCTGTGATCCCAAAGCTATGAGTCCAGAATGGGGTAAAACAGTTTACAGCAGCAGTACTGGATGCTGTACAGGCACAGGAGAATGTTTACTGTCTCGGCAGTGCTCACACAAGACCAGTCTGTTTTGTAAAAGGAAAAAAATGTCTTTCTGAGGCTGCAATTCATCAAAGTCTGGCCATCATCCAACAACTGACTCTGAAAATAGTGCTTCCTCATTTAACTTATTTATCCCCTGTGTGTGTCCAGGTCATATCTGCTCAGTTTACTGGAGCAGACCAGATTTAATTTGTTTTATCTGTAGAGGAGACTTCTGGATTTCATTCTAAATTATCAGCCAGATCCTACTCATTCTTCTCTGCCACTTTTGTTTGTTCACTTTAACCTGTAATTTTCCCAGGTCAGAAATTGTGCTTTGTATGTTTAAGGGCAATATCCTCCCCATACTGCTCTGATAGATAACATCTGCATGGACACAGAGGAACAGCACAGAGGACATTGTGCATTTTTCCAGGGAAGGACGTGGGTGGGTGTAAGTGAAGGTGAGGGTTGGAGCTGCGATGGCAGAGTGCCCTTTCCTCAACTATGTAGAGCCTATACAGGATACCGTCACTGCTTGGTGAAACAGAAAATGCAAACATTGGATTTGTTTGGCAAATGATTTCTGCAAGGACAGAGATTGTGGTATGTTTGGTGTGCTTTTTTTTTTTCCTGGATCTATCATCAAGAAATTACTGAGCAGCTGGAGGCTGTCATTGACACTGCATGGGATGGTGATAAGGAGTGCGTAAACCAACTTTCTCCGGAAGGTGTCAATGCCAAGAACAACATCGAACTGCAGCAGAGTACAAAAGAGCCATGCATCCAATGCCAAGAGCTGTTGCGTTGGGTGACTGAGACCAGCAGATTCCGGATGAGCTCTTGATGGCCAAGTTGTGTTTTGATGGGCTTATAATGAGGAAATCTGAGCTGAAGGCTGGGTCATAGTTTTTCTTAAAGTTTTGTGGTGGTAGTAAGCTGGCTTTAAAAAGCTGCTGCAGCTAAGGCGACTTGTCCTTTCTCAGCAGTTAAAAATTTGAATGTCTTAAGTAGACTTTTAGATCTTGGCTGGCTCATGTGGCAGGACAGGCTAGACCAAGAAGTAATCCTGCTTGAAACTGGTGGGAACTTCCTCAGGTTAAAAGTTTTTTGGTTTCAGTCACTTTTGAGAGTCCCTGTTGCCAGGATTTCATCCCTTCCTTTAAAGGAACAAAAACCCTTTAAACAAAACCCTTTAAAAACACTTTTTCCCATGTTCACCAAAATTGAAACAATATGTGAATGTTTCCTTTCGGGTAGTTCTGTTTTCACTGGTTGGGTTTGCCCAGGTGCATGCTAGGGGAGAGTTTTGTAAACAGATGCTGGTTAAAGTATCCATCCCAGTTGCAAAGCTTCCTAAAGAGCTTGTAGCTTTAAAAAAAAAATTCAGACAACAGAAACTGTCAATTTTGTATTGCAGTTTTCCTGTTCATTTTGGAAGGCTTTTTTTTCTCCTTATAGGCCAAAATTCTACAGTTTTACTTTAGTAGCTTTTTCATCTTAAGTTCGGAGAATAAAGAGGACTTCTTACATGTGGTGTTTTTCCTTCAAAAACTTAGATTTGTGTATTTGGGTATGTGTGAGGCATAAGTAAGTATCTATTTAGAACTGGAGTTTATTGCTATGTGGATATGCCTTTGTATGATGAATAATAAAGTAGTTCTACAATAAATTGTATTGATAAAATGTAACTTATTTTGTATTTATGTGGCATATTAAATGTTCTGTTTCTAGCAGATATCACAATAACTAATGCAATCTGTTTTGCCAAAAAGTTAAATTAGGACAAACTTCTGCATGTGTTGGTTTTCCCTCTGCTTGCCATTGTGAAATGGCATTATGAAATATCTCTTGATATACTGATGCAGGGGTGTTCTGTTTTTGTTTCATACCCTTGTTGCAGCTGGAAGGACATAGTTAACAGAGTGAATGCCCAGATGGATGAAGAACAAGCACATGGTTACTCCAAGAGCCTTAGTTTTGATCCCAAGCCTGGGCAGGAGATCCAGAAAGGCAGCCCACAGCCACCCGAGCAGAAGAGAGGGGAAGAACATCAGATAGCTGATCAGGAAGGCGAGAAGGGAAGGACAGATGATGAGGAACTCGAAATGGGTATGGCTTCTCTGATCCTATGCTGTACCACACTGTCTTATGGCTGATCATGGTGTGGAGCAAGAAAAGCTTTCTGCTTGTGTTAAAGGAAAACCTGGTGACTGTCCCTTCTCCCTGCAGATGCAGGAGTGATTGAGAGAGAGGAGAACTTGCATTCTCAAAAAGAGACTGTTGCCCAGGAACCAATGGTAAGTCACGCTGTCATCTGCTCAGAATAAGAGCCCAGCTGTCCCGTTTAGGTCAATGCTTTCCCAGAAGTTTCTAAAACATGCAACTCCTTAGTTCTGGAGGAAGTCAGAAGGATAATAAAGACTGGGACTTTTGGTTTTAGAACTGTTTGGAGAGGTGTGACTGCAGTGCTACAAGCTGGCACCTCCTGCTTGCTGGTGAAGGCAGGCTGACCGTGGCTGCTGTCTCCCAGGGATATCCTGGCTGGCATTCACAAGGTGCTTTTCTTGTCCAGGTGCCAGATGATGCTGCAGATCCTGCCCAGGATCCCAACAATCAAGGTGAGGACGAGTTTGAGGAAGCTGTGCTAGAGAGACCTGACTTTGAAGAGAAGGTGGGAGGTTTGGAGAAGTTCAAGGAGCCCAGCGTGAAAGAAGAGTTGAAGGAGAAGCCACTGAAGGTGACTGACAGGAGGGGCCAGGGAGAGATCCCCAGCTATGGATGGGGGGAGGCAGGGAGTTTAAGGACTGAAAGGAAAGCATAATGTAAAACATGTTTGTGGATGGATCTATGATCCCACTGCAAGAGTATGTCAGGCAGGAGAAACCTCTTTCTGAGTATTAGTGAGTTGGTCGGTACCGGAACTTTTTCTGGCCCTGTCCTCTGCTTGTTGGAGTCAGCCCTGGCATTTGCAGCACCTCTGTAGCTGGAGAGACGCTGAACAGGAGATGGCTCACTTACAGCACCTCTGCATTAGTCGCTGTGATCTCTTCAAGCCCTTGAGAGACCAAAACCAGAGTCAATAATAGAGCCTGTGCTGGGGAACTGGTCGGTGCAGTTGTGGCTGTTCCTGGCTGGTCATGTGGCAGGCTCCTGGCAGCAGCAACAACATGTGAGAACTCCTTCTTTGCCTCCTTGCAGATGGAATCCATTTATTTTGCAAAGTGCTGCTTGCTGCCTGAAGCCAGGCTCTGCATCAGGGAAATGTTAGCTTGTTTTGACAAGAGGTTGAGTGTTGGTTGTTTTAAAAGGAGAGTTTTATCTGTCAGGCTCTAAAATCATGATTAATAGTGAGGTTTAAAATAAAAAAATCCAGGCCAATGAAATTAAACAAGCAAGAGATGCTGGCACCAACAGAGCAACACCTCCTTAAGATTAGTGAAAATGTGGAAAGAATTAGTGACATAAATACCTGACTTTTGGATAGGGCTGTGCTGTGCTCTCTAAAGCTCTGCCCTCAATAACTTTGGATTTTCTGCAGTCCTAGGGCTTGGTGCAACAGCAGCTTGTGCAGGGCACTGGAACCTTCCTGTTGCAGGAGAGGCCCCTCTTTCCATGGTGGAAGGAGCTGGGCAGTTGCTGCCAGCACGTGGGAAGAGAAGCTGGGTGGAGAAAGTTCAAATGGAGTTTGTTTTGCCTCATTGTCTCTCTGCTGCCCCTGATTCCTGCTCTGTAGCCCAGTCTTCCAGGCCTGGGGCTCTAATGCAAGAAAACAGTGTTGCTGGCAGGGAATGGGAGTAGGCTGGGGCACGGCCAACAGTATGTGACTTTGTGTGTCTTTCAGAGTGCTGGCAGACCTGCCAAGCCCAGGGAGGACCCGATGGATAACTATCAAGAAGATCAGGAGCAAGAAATTGTACGACACCAAGGTTCTTCCTCTTTTTCTCTCTGGTGTGGTTGTTACCTGGGTGTGTTGGTAGCCAGGAGCTGTGTGTAGTTGGTGTTTCTCCAAGCATCACCCTGGGTTTATCCCTGTGGTGATGCTTTAGTCTCCAAAACACATCCTTGGGAGCCCTGTAGTTTGCTGCTGCACTGGTCCTACTGGGTCCAGCCTGTGTCTGGGGAAGGGCTGGGGAGAACTACAGCTGTGCTTTGAGAAGGGTCATTGGGTTACAGCCAGCAAAAAAAAAAAGGTAGGGGTGGCAGAAGGGTGTGATGTCCCACTTGTGAGGCAAGTGTGGGAGGTGGTGTTTTGGTTGGGCCATTGTTGCCAGGAGACAACTGCTCCTCTGTTTGGCTGAAAACAGGTATTATTGATGTGTCTCAGAGCCTCAGGACTGCTGTAGTCAGTGACAAGTTGGTGTTCCTCTAGGAGAAACATTGGAGGCCACCAAAGACTGGGAGTTGTACTAGAGAGGACTAGAGTATAACCTGGCTTGTACACCCAATAGTTGGACCAAAAAGTGCTGATGGAGGGTGTGCTGGCTGCTGCACGTCATGGGGAGGATTTGTTACACAGCTTTAAATGTGGTGGATGTAGGATATCTTCTACTCGCATCACAGCAGCATCAGGCTGAGATGTTAAAATTGCATTGTAACACCAGGATATTAAATGTGTTTAAAATTAACAGGCTGGTCATGGCAACACAGGCTTCTTCCCTCTGTGTCTTGGCTAGGTGGCTTGCCAATGGCACCTAAAGGTCCCTGGCAGAGATGGATTCTTCCCTGTTTTCCTGAGTTTCCCAGGCTGGGCTGGTTTGGTAGAGCAGCTATACTCAGAGGCAGCATGGTGTGCTGCTGCTTAGGGTCTCCTTTTCCAGGCCTTGCTGATTTTTTCCTTCCTGGCTGTTCCCTCTGCACCCAGGAGGATCATGGAGGTGAGGTGGATGACAATGACGACCTGGAACTTGTCCAAGACCAGAAGGACCATGCAGGCTTACAGGGAGCTGATGGCAAGAAGGATGACTACTACTGAAAGATGCTGAAGGAAAATGGAATATGCTGGGAATGAGGGGATGGGAACTCCTCCTGGGAACTGGCTCCTGGATTAAACACAGCCCAGGACAGACAAAGGCACGAGGAGATAACTGAGCAGTGTGTTTGCAGATGTGCATTACATCTATGTACGTGAGGCCATTGCTGCCTCCCCAGTCAATAGCATGGAAGTGCTCTCAGACTGTAGGAATTATTTTTATCCTGCTGCTTCTCTTAGAAGCACTTTTTGATTTATTGTGTTCCTCACCCTCTTGTTTTCCCTATCCCCTCCCAAGCTGGAGACTTTCTTTCTTTTTTTTTTTTTTTTTTACACCCAGGGCAGCAGAGGGGTGACTGAACCAGTCCATGGACTTACCTGACTGATTGCTAATACAAAGGAATCTGTTTTCATAAATTATTTTGCTCAGTAGTGTTTCTTTTAAAACATTCTTTGATCCCATCAGAGTAAGGTGGAGGGGAAGTTAGCCTGGTTTTCGTCTGGAGTAATGCAAGGCTGATAGCTGACCATGTGCCTGCCCGTGTGTGTGTGTATATGAATGATGAACCTCTTCCTGGTGCAGAAACTATTGCCAGTGACTCAGGGTAGAACCCTGGAGCTCTGTTTTCCTTGGCTTTGAGCTGTGGGTGTCCCGCTGGGTTTGGACCCTCCCTGTCTAATGCTGTGCATCTTGTCTTGGCATTGCTGCTGCACCCTGGGTTCCTGGAGATGTGGGCTGGCCTGAGCTACAGCAGGCTCTCCTGCAATGGTGGATGGATGAAATTTGGTGCACAGGAGGGGGGAGGAAAAAGACTAATGATAGCAGATATGAAGGAATATTTGGAGTCCAGCTAATAAAATTCCATCCTGCTCAGTGTTCTTTCCAGTCTCCCAACATTTGACAGGGAGCTAAGATAAATTTTGCTCCTTCTAGACAGGTCTGGCTTTTAATCAGCAAGTTGGGTATTTCTAGTGTTGTGATGATTCAGTAGATTGAAATCTGTGGTGCTTTAGTCTCCAAAACACATCTTGCCTGACCTCAGATGGAAGGAAGGAATGAATCAGCTGGAGTCCCTGGAATTTGAAATGGAGGCAGCTGAAAGGAGAACGGGCTTCATCATAGCTCAAAGCCTGGGACCCCCGTTACTCATATGAACAGAGCAAAGCTGTCACAGCTCCTACCTTGTGCAAGACCCACACATCTTAGCTGGCTCCTACTTCCTCGTCACCATGTCAGAAGTCCTGGCCTCTGGGACCTCACTCATCAGATGCAGCTTGTGGTTGAATGTTGTGACCTGGTAAAGGATCAGAGTAGAGATCTTTATTTGCTATTTGCATTAGTTAAGGTTTTTTAATCCCTTATTTTGAGGTGTAGTTTATAAGCACTTTTAGACACTTGTAAAAACAGTATTTATCTCCCAAAAAGCCTTGTCTCTTTCACTCAGACAGTATTGATATTTTTTTTCTTCCACTGAGTCTAATGGAGATTGAGATTAACACCTTGTAGGACATTATGGTTCTTTGGTTTTATTCTACTTGTGTTTGTTACCAGCACAATCAGATGTGCAAGTCAGACTCTGGGGTAGAGCGGAATAGTTAATGTGGTTGGCTCTCTGCTTGCTTTGTGTGGAAGCAAAAAGAACTCTGCTTTTCCAGATGCTGCCCTTTCTAGAGCTACAGCAGCCAGTTGGCTTGATGGTCCTGACAGTTATTGTGGAGTCCAGTATAATTGTGTTTTCAGGACCTCACAGACCTGATCTGCTGCTTGCTGAACCTGAGGAGGATGTACTTGTGCACTGAGACCACACAGAGCCTTACTGCCACAGCTCTGAGTTGTGTTCCAAAACCACATGAGAATGCAGAACTCTGCAGAGGAGAACAGTGGTAGCTTTTGGGAGGACGTGAGTTGAGAGCTCTTATGAGCCAGCTAGACCAGCTAGCTCATGTAGCCCACTAAGGAGGTCACTGCTAAACTATAAAGGGGTGTAAGATGTCCAAAATGACATTAAATGGTTAATGCTGCCTTAGTGCTTTATCTTGCCAACCTTGTGATGCAGTACTTCTCAGCCTCCACTGTCTGCTATAAATAGCACATTCAGGAGAGATCAGCTGGAGTTGCAGCTACCAGTTTGGATGCATCCTGATCAAAAATGCCTCCAGTTCTCGGCTGGGCTGGTGAGATGTCATTTGTTTCACAGGTCAATGCCGGATCAATGACCAACATGGTCTGTGTCATGAGCTTCCAACCTGCATGCCCAAAGTGCCCCAATGGGATGTACATACAGTTATCCATCTGCTGATTTCATTCACCCCTCTCCTGTGTTTCTCTTAGCCTGTGACTGTCAGTATGTGTGTTCAGACCTTACTGGAAGTGAATCAAGTGCTGGAAACAGAACCCCAGTGGCTGCATGCTGATTCAGAGAGGCTGCAGGAGCTATCTCAGTTAGGAGGCAAAGTCTCTGCTTTTGCCTGACTAGGATGAGTAATCCTCAAAGTTATGACTTGGAGGGAACCGTAGCAACTCAGCCCTAAATGTAAAGCTCCCTGCTAGGAGAATGCTTTAGCAACCATATGTCATGTGCTGCCCTTAGCCGAGAGCTGAGCATCTCTGCTTGAGGGATTGTCTGCCCTGGCTGTACCCGAGACTAACATTAGTGCAGTGTTGCATAAATTGTTAGCTGGGGGTGGTTAGTGCTTCCTTGGCTGGCTGATAGCAAGTTGCCCCTGTTTTTATACTAGTTCACTGTTTCCTCTAACAAGAGGTGAAACAGGAGACAAACCCAGTGGAGGAGGACTAGAAAAGTGGCAAACTTGTGGTGTTGGGTCTGTCTGAAGGCCTATAAAGCAATGTGGGATGTTACTGGTTTTGATCTGCTGCCTGGGGTTCACTGCCTAAAGCAAAGAATAGTGTGGTGCCTGACTGGTGAACAGTTGAAGCCACATGCGTGAGAAGTCCAGGCTGAGTTTTATTGCAGACTGGGCCCAGAATAAGGTCTTAGTAATCCAGCTGTTTCCTAAGAGAGCAAACAATGACACCAAGTATTCATACCAAGCCAGTGCTGGCAGATAGACCAAGCCAAGGCATGTGTTTTTGCTTGTCTCTTGCAGAAATAATTGTCTTTTTCTTGGAGACAGTGCAAGGCCAAAGGACATAGTGCAGGATAAGGTGCAGTTAACCTGTAGTGTTAGTACAAATTTTTTTGATGGGTTGCTCTTGATTTTCCTTTGGACTCCAGCAAGATGATGTAGATCAGATTTCTGTAAACAAATATATTTCCAGGGTTTGCATTATATCAAAGCATTAAGTGGTTTGGCCACATCTTTAGCCAGATGAGGAGAACTAATAGTACATTCTGAGCTCTTACAAATAAAAGCATGGATGAGGAAAACATATGCCTACCAATTAGCTCAATGAAATCTTTGTTTAATGAAGCCTGCTTCTCTGTAATCTACTTCTTACTTGGAAACCTCTTTAGCATTATTAGGCTCATTCATTTACACAGCATTTTTTTTAGGGGTTAGAATGTGACAATCTAATAGGAGTTTAATGAGATATTTATCTGAAATAGCTGGAGGATAAAATGCCCTAAACCCTTGCAGATACTGTAGCTGTGAACTGGCTGCATATTCCCAAACCAAGAATGTCCTCTCATTTTTAATTTTGTATATGACTTGCTTAAGAGTAACAGTTGTTTCTCAGGATGACTGTTGTTCATATTCTGTATAGTTTGAGTGAGACTGGCTCTTGTACAGCTTGGGGATTAAATATGGATCTAACCTAGACTGATGGAGTGCAGGCCTGCCAGGGAACTGACATCCTTCAGTGCTCCTTCCTTCTTTGCACCTTGCGATAACGTGTCTTTTCACCTCAACCCACATCTGTGTCATTTTTACACTTGACCACCTCTGGAGTGAAGCCTGCCACTTTTGATGAGCTCTGTTCTGCTTAAGTGTTAGAGAATATGAATATACATGGAAAAGAAGAGGTAGGTGTAAGGTCACTGACAGGGGTTGGGGTGTTCTGTATCCTTACATTCGTGTGCCAGAAGAAAATGGGGAAACCAAAGGAATGTATTTATCCAGATGCCTTGTTATAAAGGTGACTGTGGGTCTCTAGTGCAAGTGTATATCTATAACCCAAAAGGTCTGAGGATGGCAGTGATGGCACAGGGATATACTCAGCAGCTTTCCTGATTGTTTAGGTCATTCATTGTTCTGTTCAACAGCAAACCTGTTCCAGCCTGTAATCATAGAACCAGTTATTCTGACCATAACCTGTAAACAACTAAAGGGAGTCAGTGTGAGTCAGAGGGTCAGGACTCAAACCCAAAGGGAAGAATGATTATCTATTCCACTATTACAATTCCTGGTAATTTTGACAGTCATTCTGGGAAAGACATTTGAGGAGGCTTCCACAGCTTTCCAGGAAACGAAGTATCGCTGGTGAGCTTGTTTTTCCCTCTTATACAACTTGTAATGATCTTCAGTTTTGCACCCTAGATGGAATTTCCACAGGTAAGTCTGCCTCAGCCACCAAGAAGTGCCTTCAGCAGCACAGCACCTCCTATTGTTTGTAATAACCGAATGTTTTACAAGGAGAGCAGCCATTACTACAACCCTAGTGTCCTTTTCTATACTGATTTTTTTTTTCAATTGTTTTCTGATACCAAGATGTATCAGTAGAAGAGATTATCATCTTTCTGTAGGCTCAGAGACACCCTACTCCCCCAATGTTAAACTCTGTTAAAGACTAGACATGGAAATAACTTCTGAGGTAATACTTGGTATTGTTAGATCATGTTTAAAGATTTCCTTAAGAAAACACATGCTTTAAAAAGGTGAGTCTTTGAGATTTAAATGTCCTGATATGAGACTATTTGGTCATGTTGATGTTCAATGCATCCAGAAAACAAAACTATTTAAACAAGTGTCACATTGCTGCAAGTTCCACTTTGTCTATATTACTAAGTAACACCTTCACTTAAGTCTAAGGTGTATGATTT